AAAAGACCACAAGTTCAGCAGAAATAGTGAGTGTATTATGAAGATCTGCAAATATGATTATCATCATGAGCGACAAAGAATAAACGTGTTTTTTTTAAATCGAGAAGCCAGGGTGAAGGACCAAGGCTGAAACGGGAAGGAGAGAAGATGAGATTAATCAAGAATTAGTGGTTAGGTGATGCCAAGCTTGAGGTTTAAAAGCCTGGAACTTGTAGAAAAGACTGAAGGAATGAAGGAGTTTCAGACTCTTGTGGTTTGAGAAAGAATACGTTTGAGTATCTCACAGCATGGTACTGAGCTCCACTTGCTTGGTCTGTTGATTAATGTCAAGCTAACTAATGGCTAGTTGGGTGAAATACTGGTAGGCAGATGGTATCCATGCAGCTATATCTCAGGAGAAGGAAATATAAGTAAAAACAACAACTTGCATTTACTTAGCGCCTTTCATACAGGGTAGCGTTGAGAGTGCTTAATGTCATAGTTTTGTGTCGAGGGAGAAAGAGGAGGTGACCATTGGCATAATCAAAGAGAATGTCTTCAGGTGCGATTGGAAGATGGGCAAAGAGGGGGTAATGTGCAGGGATTGAGGCAGGCAGTTCCAGAGAGTTGGGACATCGAGGCGCCGATGGTGGAGCTGAAGGCCTGAGCCGGCCAAGCAAAGTAGGTGGGTCGAAGAATGGGGTATGAGCAGGTCGGAGAGGTAGAGAGATGATAGGCATGAAGTGATTTGTAGGTGAGTGTGAAGATGTTGAAATAGATCTGTTCAGCTGTTCTGACTTTGTGAATGGTAGAGCTAGGGAGAACTGATGAGGAGTGCAATGGAGAAATGCCACATTGCTCGCCTGCGACCCTATCTCATTCTAAAAGCCACTGAAACTCTCAACCAGGCTTTGTCACCTCCTTGATTTCTCAACCGCACTTCTCTCTGGTCTGCTCAGTTCATCACCCACAGATACAAAACTCTGCCACCCGTATCCTTATCTGCACCAAACTCTGCACCCCCATCACCCCAGGCCTCGCCAGGCTCTGCTGACTCTCTACGCAGAATGGACTGATTTCCAAAGCCTCACTCTCACCTATAAATCACTTCAAGCCCTGGCACCTCCCTACCTTTCCAACATGCTCACAGCCCACTCCTCTACCCATCCCTTTACTCAGTTAACACAGGACCCTCTGTAATCTCCTACCCATCAAGCCCTCTGTGCCATTATCTGAGGCCATGCCTTCAGCCATTGTGCCTCTAATCTTGCCTCACTATTTCTTGATCTAACTTTAAACCCTATCTAAAAACCTTACCTATTCGACTGTCCCTATCTTCAACTCCTCCTCCCCTTCTTTGCTAACCATGCGACTGTCCAGCTTTCAAGACAATATCCTATGTGATGGGTGCTAAATAAATGCATATCAAACACAAGTAGTGTATTGTATCAAATACAAGTAATATATCAAGCCATAGATTATTAAATTAATCTTTGCATTTTATATAGAGCATCTCAAAGAGCTTCACAGAATGTACTGTAAAATTAATTGACTATATTTTGTGGGCGTGGATTGAGTGAGCACATTTTTTTTATTTTTAATAACATCACATTCCTCTGAACAGAATTGTCTCTGCAAATGTGACTCAATATTCTAAATTTTATACAGATTATATGGATTATATACCTCAAAACCAATGGGGTCTTGCATGTTGGTGGGGGTGACGTGGCAACTAACAAAGTTCAACAGTTGGAGGACATGTGTCGGGCACTGCCTTAGAACAAATGGATGGCCTCAAAGTGTACATTTAGTTGCTCTTTGGTTTTTCCTCCTTCATCTGCTGTACGATCTTACTTGCATTATGTTCCACTGACACCGGTTACTATCTGGTTACCTACCCCCAGGTAGCCATTCTTCATTTCTGAGCCTCAAGGGCACGTATTGGCAAGATATTCAGTGATACAAACCTGATACCTCTGATACCTCTTTTCCAATGTTTTTTTCATTATTGATTGGGCCGTTCGGTATAACTAAGAATTAATAATTTTATAAATCCCATTTTTTAATGTGGCAAATGCAATCACTGATAGAATAATTGTGCCATCGAGAAATCATCTTTTCTTTGGAAAGAGTTCGTTTTATGACTGTGTCACTTTTAAGAGACCAGGTTTACAGCTCAAGGGAGTGTTCCAGTCAACCCTGATGGATGTCTTTTGTTGATGGCAGGGCTAGTAAATATGTTGTATCAGACCCACTTATTTATTTTATGAATGTTACTTTTCCCAAGAATAAAATTCATCAGAGATGACCTTTGGGCTCGCTTCCCCGCTGATGGGAAAATATTTATCACACTGCAGCAGCTTTCTGTGTAAGGTCTGACCCCAGGGGATGAGGGTGATGATTCCTGTGAGAGTAATAAATTCTCCATGTACTAATTACAAACCTTTTAAATTAACCCTTGTAAAACGCCGTCACTTCCAATCTCTCGTTGTTACTTCTGAGCACAAGTAAGTGATCACATCTAATCAAGCAAAGTATCAGGCAGCCGGGTATAGGTAAGACACACAGACAATCCCAGAACCATAAATCCAGGCAGACTGACGAATGCACAAGCTGATACGTGGACACACAGACAGCAGCAAGAAGACATACATAATGATCTATTTGGCTGTTGGAGAATAACTTACATTTTTATAGCACCCTTCATGTGTAAAGTCTTGGAGCGCTAAAATGGAGAAAATGAGCAGGTTAAGTGATTCTATGTAATAGGAAAGATATGATTCAGAGGTTACTGCAAGTTGATTGTATTCTGTTAATAATAATAATCCTTGCATTTCACATATAGCTTTGTAACACATCTTCGAGATTTTGCAAAGTGCTTCACAGAATATACTGTAAAGTGCATATTTTGTGGGTGAAATGCAGAAGCCAATTGTGCACAGCAGTGTCCCACAAACAGTCGTGGATTGAGTGACCAAATTAATATTATTTTTTAAAATTTATTTTCAGATAATGATGTCAAAATCATTATCTGAAAATTGTGTAGAAGTTTGGAAAATTCTTAAATTTGTTTCAGTTTAGAAGCTAATACTGTGCAGTTCTTCTCAAAGCCAAAATTTTGAACCATAGATATCCCCAGAAGCTCTTGACCCACTTTCTCTGTGCAGTCTGGTTAACTGCTAACTGCTCATGCTAATATTTGATGTGATCTGTAGATTTCATCTATAAGGTTGTGAAATAAAGCTGAATACATATTTAAACAGTGATAAAAAGGATTGAAATATATATCGATGCCCACCGGAAAATCGGGGTGCACATCAGCTTTCTTTGTCATTTCTGCATTCTTTGACTAAATCTGACCCAATCGAATGGGACATGTTCAGGGAACTAGGCAACACAGGATGTTTCAGGTTAGTATACCCTCTGCCACCATAGTCCAGGGGGTAATCGGTTTGGTTTGGATACTCGTAAGCACGGGGATGGGTTTCCGCATGTGTCAGACACTTGGCTGACCGCCTCCCCCCACCCCCAAAAAAAATCCATTCCCAAACCTCTGCGCCTTACGCCTCCGTCTACAACCTCTTTGAGTGTTTCTTATGCGTTCCTAATATCTGTGCCTTGTTATATCCAACCTCTCCGTCATTTCTCCTTCATCTCTAACCTCACAGTGCCTTTCCCTTCTTCCCCAACCTCTCAGAGCTTTTGTCCTCCATCTCAAACATCTGGACCATTCTCCTCCACCCTTGCAGTGATTTATTTTCCATCTCCATCCCATGCATCTTTCTCCTCTATCTCCATCCTCTCTCTCATGTCCCCAATCTCTTCCCTCTCTCCTCTCTCTCTCTTTCTCTGTCTCTCTTTTTCCCCTTAGATCAGTCACTGCGGCTCATCCACCCACCGACTGGTTCCTCTACATCAAATTGTCCACTTTTCCTCCTTTCTTTTCAGCCTGGTGGAGGTTTTCACGGCTGACAGATCAATTTAAGCGACTTCAGCCCCCCAAAATAATGTGCTGACGAAAAGCAGTCACTTTGTGTTTTTATGTATTTTTTTAAAATTATATTAAAAAAAACTATATTTCTTCCCACTCCTGGCCAACCCCACCTCTGTGCAGTGAAGTCTTGCTGTGTGTGTGCATCAGATCATCGCCTCCACCACCGCAGAGGCTGTTATCGCAAACTCGTTCGTTAATTTAGTCGATCCGCTTCGCTTCGGGGAGAGCGCGGCCGACGACTCGTGCGTTAAGTTCGTGTGGTCTCCAAATCGCTTGCGGTTTGCAAACCCAACCCAGAGCAAGTTTACAGTGAACCCAGACCCCCACCCCCAACCCCCCCCAACCACACCCAAACACACCCGTTTTAAAGCACCAGTGGTGGTGGGTGGGAGGGGTGATGTGGGCACCGGTTTTGCCCCATTAGCACAAGGAAGAGACGATGCAAAATAAAATAAAATAAAATAAATAAACCCAAACCATCCTGTGCTCCCGACCCTTTGCCCAGCAAACAAAATCATCCCTCTCTTCAATAAGCATTGGGACTCGCAAACCTGTCCATCCATCCCGTTCAGCAAAGAAAAAAAAATCAGAGGCAAGATTTGTGACAACAGATCCAGATCCTTTGCTCCTGCCTCTGCACAGATACAATCTGTCGCCACAGATTAAAAAAAAGCATTGACCGTAACCCAAATTCCAACTGGAGCAAAGTACCATTTATTTATTTTATTGAGAGAGAGAGAGAGAGAGAGAGACAGAATAAAAATAAATTAAAAAACTCCCCATCAGTGTCGCAGGGCAACAGAAACACTTGCAAAAAGCCACCTTGCAAATCTCTCCCAGGTCTCAAACCTTCAAAGCTATTTTTATTTTTTTAATATATTATTATATGCATATATATATATGTATATAGAGAGATAAAAAAAAGAACAACGCCACGCATTTTGCTGCCCAGTTTTCACATAAACATCTCAGCTGCCTGAGAAATGGAATTAAGAAATAAGTTGTTGCAACTCTGCAGCTGACTTACCTGTGTTGCTTTTTGACTCGTGGGGCGTCTGTCTCATTTGTTAATTTATCCTCTCTCTTTTTTTTCTTTTCCTTTTTTTCTTTCTCTCTCTGTCTCTTTTCCAAAGCAATGGGGTTTCAGTGCAGGGCAGTGAAATCCAGGTTTTTGGTGTCGGTGGATGAAGTGGGCGGTGATGGAGATGCTGAGGTTGTGCTCATGTAGTTAAGTTAGTCCAATCGTTCCTTGGACAGGAGCAGATTAGCGTTAGCAATTTGCAGGAGGAAAGCTTTAACGTTGTGTGTGTGTGTGCATTTCTCCCTCTCTCCCTCTCTCCCTTTTTACTCCCCCAGACCCAATCGGGGAGAGCTGCTTTGCTGGTCAGAGATGCTCATTATCTAAAGAAAAAGACAAGGGGCACACATCGAGATAAGAGAGCTGATATATATTATAATATATATATATAATATATATCCACTGAGTGAACGACTCAAACCAGATTGGCACAAATCCTTTTTATTTATATATATATATAAATATATGTATAAATATATTAGAATATATTTATATATATTAGATATATTCTAATATATTCTAATATATTAGAATATATTTATATATATAAATAAAAAGGATTTGTGCCAATATATATATATATATAGAGAGAGATATTTATAAAAAATCCCAAGCTCACCAGAATCCAACAGATTTATGGAGTTAGAAATCCAATTTCGGAGTTGAAAATAGGTTTGAAATATCACCCAACAGAGCATCCACAGAGATTAAAAAAAATACATCCCAAGATCTACTGCATCGATGCTGATGGAAAGTTCAATTGTAAACATCTCCCTCTCTCTCTCTCTCCCCCTCCTCTCTTCTCTCCCTCCTCTTTCTCTCCTCTCTTCCTCCTCTTTCTCTTCTGTCCCTCCTCTTCTGCCCCTGAGGTGTTGGCTTTGGACCAGCCTGAAAGTGAGGAGTGCTGATGCAGTCTTGAAACAGACCATAAGCTCCAGCAGCCAAGGGAAGGAACTGGAAGTGACAAGGGGAGAGAGAGAGGGTGGATGGATGGATGGATGGATTACAAACCGTGCCAGTGTCAGAGAGAGAGAGAGAGAGAAAGTAGTAGATTGAACTCGCTCTGTGTCCCACAGGAGAGAAGATGGGACTGGGAGGTCCACTTCTAAGCTGAGATCTATTTCACTCTCTCTATCTCTCCCTGTGCAGAGGGAGGTGTGTCAATGCAGCTGTTATCTGGTGAAGGGAAAACAAATGGATATTGCTTCTGCACTGTTCTGAGATTCAGCATCACAATATATATATATACATATAATATATATAAATCACTCTTTCTTCCTGGCTTCCTTCCTTTCCTCTCACCCTACTTTCTCTTTCAGGACCAGAACTGATCACCCTACTTTCTGCTACAGGACTAAAGTGTTTTGTTGTCACTGTATTCAAGCCTGACCTGGCTTTCTCCACTTGTTATTTGTCTGGTCTCTTGTTGGATGTTGGAGCTCCACGCCCCCTGCTGATGGCTTGTAACAATTAACCTCCCTCTGGTTCCAACTGCAGTAAACGTGGGGCTGAACCCAAACCATAGCAAAGATGCTTGTTCAATCCTCTGTTGGTGATCTGGGTTGTCAGGCTCCCCCACAGAGAGCCGCTGATGACAGACCACCCAGGCGGGCTCATCGGCTTGGAGGGGCAGGTGAAGGAGGCAGTCATACTTCCCACTCATCTTCTGTTAACCCATCAAGCCAAAGCCCTTAATGGCTAGAGGGGTCCTAAAGCTGGGCAAGCCACTGGAAGAATTGTCAGACAACAATTGCAAATGGCAGGCTGTATGGATTTAGATGCTTAAAGTCCAGCAGTGTCCCAATGCATACACTGGAGTCTCCAAGCCTTGCCTCTTGCCAGCCTGTGCCTAATACTCTCCAGAATTATGAAAGCAGGTGTGTCCCTCCAGTGAGACAGTTCCTGCTCCATTCCAGACATGGCGATTTCCATGCGTGGTCAACATGCATGGAACTTTCATTCCAGGTTGGAAACTCTTAAGCACCGTGTTGGGTTTCCACATGTGTCAGACCCTGGCTGACCAAAACAAAATTATTCCATCGCTTATTCTTTTTTTTCCTACTACTTTTGGAACTCCAGTGGTATTCCATGCTATGGGCATCAGCCCTTTACCTATGTTTCTCAATAATGGGAGTTCCCTTATTAATAAAGGCTAAAACAAACTGAGATGTTATGGAATACTAAGCAATACTTTAGAGAGGAAGAACTTGTATTATAAAGCCTCTTTTGAAGATCTTAAAGCACTCTTAAGTATCTTGAAGTATTAAATCCATTCCTTGCATTTGATACTTCACAAGCAATTTCTGCCAAATGTAGTGACTTTTTGTGGGCAAACATGGCAGCCAATTGAGCCAGCTGGTTCCACAGATATCCATGAAGTAAATGAATTTGTGTTTCTTTTCAAATAGTCATAGGATATTTAATGTTCAACTGAACAAGCAGATTCAACCTGTTTAATGTTCCATTCAACCTCTGCCAATGCAACACTCCTCCAGTACAGTAGTGCAATGTCAGTTTAGACTATAAGATTACGCATTTGAGTCTCGACATGGGTTTAAACCTACAACCTTCGAACACAGAGGTAAGAGTGCTACCAACTGAGCAAAACTGACATACTAAGCTGTATGTCAGTTTGACTCAATGATTAGAAAGTGAAGAGGCTTCTCTTCAAAGACTGGCTTGGATAATACCTAGCTCAAGGATCCTATAACTGTTTCTGCATCTCCCTCGCCTGGTATAAGGACTTATGCTCTGGCTCACTATAGGGTTCAGTGTACTGCTTCTAGGAGACTCAATCTACCTCAAAGGCTAGTTAGTATCCAGGAATTGTCTTAACTTCTGTACATAAAACAGTTTAAAAAATGCTTTTAAAGTTGCTCTGGAGAATAATTTACAGTTTTATTTTGGAAATAGTTTCAAAAATCTGTTTCCTTGGTTTCATTGATAAAGCGACTGCCTAATTTGGAATAGAGCTAATAGTTAGGTTAAATCCAGAAAGTCTTATTATTATATAATAATAATGATAATAATCCTTGCATTTGACATAGGGCTTTTCACGTCTTCTAGACATCTCATGTATGATCCCAGGTCTGTGTTGAGATAGTGTATGATCCCTGGTCTGAATTGAGATAGTGCACCAGGGTTACTACAAAATGCCAGAACAGACTGAAAAACTACGTACCACATTTCCTGATCACTATCTATAACATATAACGTATAATATATAACATACAACATGGATACTAAATGAGAATAGGATTAGACTGCGATGCCAGCCTAGCCATGTGTATAGTCACAGAAACGATGTCAATATGTATGGAGCCTTATTGTATCAAAACATGTTGATGCTTTAGAGATATTTGCTGTCAAGTGTGGTTACTATTTTAGTAAGCAAATAAAAAAGCCAAAAATGAAAGCCACATACCAGCAAGGTCACACAGACATCCATAAAAATAATAATAATAATAATCCTTGCATTTTATATAGCGCCTTATCACATCTTTGAGATGTCTCAAAGTGCTTCACAGAATATACTGTAACGTGAATTGACTATAGAATTTGTGGGCAAAATGTGGTAGTTAATTGCGCACAGCAATGTCTTACAAACAGTTTTTTTTCAATTAATCGATCAATTAATTGAAGACTTGTTGGCCATCACAGTATGACAAACCCCCTTCTCTTGTTGAGTAGTGTCATTGGATCTTTAACATCTGCCTGAAGAAAACACAATGAGTCTCAGTTTAACGTCACATGTGAAAGATGGCACTTCTGACAATGAAATACTCCTCCTGTAGATAATGAGCTCTCAAATACTGATGTGTTGTATGAACCCACAACATGTTCACTGCATAGATTCACATGGAAGAACAACCATTCGGGTTATGTTTAGCACCTTCGGGGTAGAAAATCTTAAAAGCTCTCACCAGTGCACTAAACTTAAAGCCAGGATACGTTCTATCTGTACATCTCCAAAGATACCTTAGTGCAAACATTGTGCTGCTGTCCTACAATTACACAACTCCACCAGTGAATTTAATTTGGCCTTTTTTTTTAAAGCACTTTGTGTTTATGGGCTGAGGTCCAGAAGATGAATCATTTATTACTATAAATCTATGCTTGTGTCTTGCTACATGAAATTCCAGTCCAATGGGACTTTTGTTTCTTCACTGCTCATCTTTGCAAGTGCTAATCTTTCATGAAAAAAATATGCGCAGTGCTTGAAATTAAGACACAAATAAGTTATTTATTTTAAATCACATTTTACCCTGGAGCAACTTCAGGTTTATTCTTTGCCTAAGTGTTGATTCTGCTAAATGTTTTTAAGATCTCAACTCTCTAGGATATGAAGCTCTCAAATGTATTATTTCACTGTAAGGAAGGATGGTTGCATTTGCCTTGCAACCTGGTTTGGACAATATTAAAAATAATAATAATCCTTGCACTTTGCAGTGTGTTCTGTGAAGCGCTTTGGGACGTCCTCTCGACGTGAAAAGCGCTATATCAAATGCAAGGATTATTATTATTATTATTATTATTGATATAGCGCCTCATCAAATCATTGAAATGTCTCAAAGTGTTTCACAAAATATACAGTAAATAAATAATAATAATAATCCTTGCATTTGATATAGCGCTTTCACGTCTTCTAGACGTCCCAAAGCGCTTCACAGAATATACTGTATAGTGAATTGACTGTATATTTGTGGGCGAACGCGGCAGCCAATTGCGCACAGCAATGTCCCACAAACAGTCATGGATTGAAAATGAGCAGTTTATTATTGTTTTTTTTTGGAGGGATCATTATTAGGCGTGTGGAGTAAGGAAACTTGCCCAAGGTTTCGCCCTCTGCCTGGAATTGAACTCAGGTCTCTCACTTGCAAAGCAAGTGCTCTAACCACTGAGCTACAGGACTCCATTGAATGCACTGTTTATTTTGTGGGCGAAACGCGGTTTACAATCGTACACCGCAGTGTCCCATAAACAGTCTGGATTGAATCACTAAATTGTTATTTTTTTTTCAAGGGATTATTACCCCTGAGACGTGTGGAGTAAGGAAATTTGCCTAAGGTTTTGCCCTGCCCGGGAATTATACCCAGATCCTCTAGCTTGCGAGGCGAGTGCTCTAACCAACAACAATAACAAGATTACATTTGTATAGCGCCTCTCACGTCGGGAGGACGTCCCTCTGCTACTTGGCAATAACTCCACATGACAAGGTGCTGTTCCTGTATGGTATTACAGTAGACTGTTACAATAGACATAGGTGTTGCGCTGAGAGCAATGGGAGAATTGAATGAACATTCTTTGCATGCAGCAGCATTGGGAACGGAGTGAGGAATATCAGCGCTAACACTGCCTCTGATTGTGTTTGCTTTGCATTTTGCTGGTCACTGCTTTTTTTCCTTGGATGTAGGAGATTGGTGGAGTTATCCAAAGCCATTCATACCATTTTGATATTGCTGACCTGAAATGGTCTTCTCCAAAAACTGTTAAAGTTCTTGCCATGAGAATTGAAGTCGCAGGTTTCAAGCAATTGTGCACAGTTTAATTTGCATCCTTGCATTTTGGCTTCAATATGGTGTAATGTTCCATAATGTAGCACTGCAATATTGCAGAGCCCTACCAGTTCAAGCAGCTTAGTGATATGAATGCAGCATTGAATGGATATCTAATTCATGTTGGTTGCTTTTGTTATCCTTTTTCCCCACTGCACTTCCAATTCCAAGTGAGAAGATGATTAGGTGACCTTCTATCCTCTGCCAAAGCTGCCCTTATAAATAAATATGCAAAAATGTCATATGCA